TTGAAAAACTTAGCGTTGCGTCTTTGCACGTTCCGAGATCTTACACAACCGTCAATAATAGCAGATATTCAAAAAACATCTTTCGGTCGACATACAGGTATATCGTCTCAAGTTTTTGATTTTATAAGGAAAAAAAACACATGCCTGATGATGGATGGAAGACCGTCCGTAAGTACTAGCATTTTAACATCGAATAAACTGAAAAACTACAGACAACAAGTTTTTCTTCAAGGATCAAAACTCGCACTCTGGATCAATAGGATTTTAATGCATATATTATGTTTTCTAGCGATGGATGTCGCCAATAATCGCATTGATACTTCTGATTAATTCTATGTGTGATTATTCTTTGTATATATATATATATATATATATATATATATATATATATATATATATAATAGTACAAAGTATCGGTATAACCGAGTGAAGGCTTGGCAAGTGACTAAAAAGAAAAAAAAAAACGACAATATTAACGATGAATAAAGTAAAATCAAGATAAAAAAACAATACAACCCCCCCCGCAAAAAAAAACGCAAAATGAAACATAGACTAAGAAAAAAGACCCAATCAGTAACCAAAAACAGCTCTAAGGCTATTAAGACAGAGCAAGAACCTTTCAAATCTTCACCCCCTTAGCTCTGCAGAGTGTATGAAATTTGGTGGCGGGTTCTTCGCGCCAAAACAAGAACCACTTGATGTGAGCTGATACCTGGATCGTCTCCAACAGCATGTAGTATGTCTTTTTCGTGGTCAGGCGTACGAACGGATCTCGGTCTTCCTCGATCCTTAGTTTGTAGTGCCACGGACCCTGTCTCATTAAGGCGATGATAAACAGCAGCAAAAATTGGCTGACTCAGCTGCTTTCGATATGGAAACGCAATCTGATACAGCCGTGCAGCCTTGCGTCCATTATCATTCACTTGGCTGTATGTAAAAATCGTACCTGCCGGCTCACGATATGCAATTCCTGCCATTGTTAAACGGAACACTTCTCAGTTGACTCACTGCTGCACACGTTAATCGTTGAAGACAGTCTAGTCACAAATGTACACGAATGACAAATGTAACCTACTCCACATAGCAACACAGCGCCATCTACCATGAACTTTATTTAAACCTAGTAATTTAAATAAGTAGAACTTGCGAATATGTTTATACAGACTTTTGCCTTTTTTGCGGGGGGGTGAGTAACTTGTCCCCAAAGGTTATAAAAGAATTTTGATACACCATATATATATATATATATATATATATATATATAATGAAATGGACAAAGTCCGACAATTATTTAAAGACATTTTTATGTTTATACATTTTTTTTATAGATACAATTTTTTAAGTAAATGCTCTGTTTATGATAAACAGTATTAAACAACATTTACCGGCGTGAATGTCCGAGAAATTTTCATAGAAAATATTCGTCCTCTGACGTGCCTTAACCGATTCGGCCACAGAGGAGCGTTCGGTTAGCGAGGTCGATTGTAGTTTAAAGACAGTAAAATCGACCTTGCTAACCGAACGCCCTCTGTGGCCAAATCGGTTAAGGCACGTCAGGCTAAATGACGGTTCCGTATAAACATTAGACATGGCACATGGAACTAGAACAGTCTACAGTGAGCGAAATAGGGTTCAGATCGACATTCCAATAATAAAATAGTGTAATAAATATGTCATTCACAGACAGTCCTAATTCGCAGCTCCTCAATGCGATTAGATAACCGAATGCCTCAAGCCCGGATCGAAACCCAATCGATTTGGCGTTAGTCAGAGCTTCTACCACTGAGCTTTCTCGACAGAAAGAGTCAGCCAAATCTAGCGTAAACAAACGCCAAGCAGCCATAGTGCTCCATTCATTCATTCATCTGAAGTGATGAGAATGCTACCTTTCAA